CCCCCCCCACTGCCACTCATGTCAGCAAGAATAGCGTCTGTGCCGCTTAAAGCTGATTATGATATCTATTCGGTTCTCTGATGAGTGGATAAACTACCTGACATTGCTACTGTAGGACACCGGCAGGGCTGCATAGCAGCCCCCGAATCATTGCCCTCTTCTTCATTTTGTTTCAGAAACAAGAAAGGATGGGGGGCCCTGATGCGGTCATCTTCAGGAACATGTCCTCTTAATCTACCAGACTGCGTCTTCAAGTCTTTTAAAGAGTTCCGCTGACTTGAGCGAAGATGATCAAAACCGGCCCTCGCTTGACCACCACCCTGCCCCCGGAAACGGTGGACATCATCCGGAGCAAAACCCACACCCGCCGAGTGAGGCTGAACGTGGGGGGGCTCCTCCACGAGGTCCTGTGGAGGACGCTGGACAGACTGCCCCGCACGAGGCTGGGCAAGCTGAGGGACTGCAACACCCACGACTCCATCATGGAGATATGTGACGATTACAGCCTGGATAACAACGAGTTCTTTTTCGACAGACACCCGGGCGCCTTCACCTCCATCCTGAACTTCTACCGCACCGGAAAGTTGCACATGATGGAGGAGATGTGCGCCCTGTCCTTCAGTCAGGAGCTGGACTTCTGGGGCATCGACGAGATCTACCTGGAGTCCTGCTGCCAGGCCAGGTACCACCAGAAGAAGGAGCAGATGAACGAAGAGCTCAAGAGAGAGGCGGAGAACATGAGGGACAGGGACGGAGAGGAGTTTACAACCACGTGCTGCTCCGAGAAGAGGAGGAAACTCTGGGACCTCCTGGAGAAGCCAAGCTCATCCTTTGCTGCTAAGGTAATGTCTGAATCAGCCTTTCACTTGTGTCACATTGCCGAGGCATATCGAGTGAAAATAGTGGGTAATCTATATAGCCACATGGGTATGAAACCTTCAGGCCTCTTAGGGACTAAATAGTGACCTCTCCATTTTTGGATCATGTGTAAGAGTATTTAAATTGTGAAAATAGCTTTAGCTGTAGAACAACAACAACTTACAGAGAAAGCATGATAAATCCAGTTTACCACCCAGAGGCCAGCTTAAACTTCTCTCCCAAATTGGCTTATTGTGATTTTCTTTTAACCTGACCCAGTGCTTTTAATCTGCCATTTTCAACAGCTGGAGAGGGGGAGACTTCATGAAAGAAAGATGGTGCTTGTACTGTGATGCACTGAAAGATGAACAAAGCTGTCTGCAAAGTTTGACTCACTCACCAGTCAGAAATAAAAATAGCTTGACTTTCAAAACTGCTCTAGCTCGCCTTCTCTAATCAATAATGGGAAATTAACTTGGTGTAATGTTCAAAAAGACAAAAAGAGCCCCTCAGTTTTTTTCTCGTGAGTCAATTAAAAACTTTTGTTCTTGGTGCTTTTCTTTCGATAAGAAACATGACAGCCCTTATTGTTTCCCTTTATTAGTTTCAGTCAGCGTATCAATACGTGGATGTAATTAATGTTTGTTTGTTTTCTGAGGCGACAAAGAGGATGAAATGAGCCCTGATCACTTGCTGTTAGAGTTGTCAGCATTGTTGGAAATCTTCCTGTGCAAAATAGGTATTTTTAGACCTCCACATAACACCTTCCCCTCCCCTACCTTCCCCTCAAGCAGGGCTCTTGGCTTCATTTGCCACCTCTGCCTCATTACCAGTTCCAGTATTCAATCATCCAGCTTGTTAATGGGCTGATAGTTGGCAGTCCAGGAACAAGAGAACCATACTTTGATGGACCAATAAGTGTGATCACGTTAACTTCTAAGGGCAGGAACTAATTAATGATCGGACAAGGTCAATATTCCCCTCCAAATCTTGAATTATGAGCGCCTACCATCAAGTGACCTTTTTGCATCACAGTACAAGCATTCTGAAATAAATACACTTTCACAGTCATCATGGATTCAAATATTACACTGAAATTTGCTTTTATAACCCGGGAATAGCGATGGGGTCAAAAAAAGCCTCCTGCATAGAGAAGCATAATAAGCGCCCCGGGATCATACGCTTTTACGGTCAAATCATTACTCAAAGAAATTTCAAACACCTCTTTGAACAGGAATTCCTGCATAATTTATGTAGCTCGTCTATTTGAGGACCCAGCTCCATACCTGACCCTGAGTCACTGGCGGTTTTAATTATTTCATCAAATATCCAATAACTTTGCCTTAGGAAATACACCTTTATGGCAGATACCTTGAGCTTTATTTTCATGTTGTCAAGGCAGAACGCCTGGCAGCAAAGAAACAAAGAATGTTAGATTGACAAAGAGGCTAAAAACTGACTTTTACTGTACATACACATTGGTTATGATCATGTATCTATTTTTAATTTCATTACTAATTGGAGAGTTTCGATGGAAGTTTTTGTTGTGATTGAAGTTAGTTGTAGTTCTCTGCTGTTACACATAGATTATTATTACTTCAAATATAGACCCAACTGTTCACTTACAGCCAGAGACGTTGTTACTTAAATGGTCCCATGTGAACACCATACCAAGAATAAAAAAACTGAAAACTGTGATGGTAGTATGCATGTAACACATTGCACTTTTTGTGAAGTCTACCAATTTCAAGAATGACACTTATAATGTTTTTAACTATTCAGAGGCATGCTATCAGCCACCACTTTTTTAAGATAAGAGAGTCATTTAAAACGCTGATTGCCTGCGATTACTTCCAATTTCCAGTCTCAGTGAGTTCTGTCTGTTAACTATGAGGGGATTCTTGCTGAGTGTGCTAAATCATCTCACTTCAAATACAAATAAATGAATCATCTCGGCTCACTTCTTCATCATTAGTTGAATTTACAACTTATGTTTTTGAGTAGCACATCATTATTAGAGCATTTTTAAAGAAAGCTTCTTTTTCCATTTTGTCTAACCAACCATGTTAAATCCGTAACATTTTTAAATTGAACTAATGAAAAGTCCAACTAGCAAGCAGGTACGGAGGCCAGTGTGCTACAGATACTGAAGTTCATGTGATTGACTCTGAAAGCAATTTTTATTCATATGATAAATTATCCTGTAGAATGATTTCATACGACCACCACAGTTGTCCATCCTTAATTTGCAGTTCCTTACTATTAAAAGTCAACATGTCTGCAGTGACTAAATAAGAAATAATTTCAGTTTGAATGTGAATATTTGCTCAGTTCTGCTGCTTCTCAATGAGCTCAAATGACGTGGAATTACAAAGGAGAGATCAGGAGCATGAGCAAATAGCAATAATATTCTCATATTACAATGTTTGCATTGCAAATTTACAATATCTCAAAACATTGACTGAGTGCTCTGCTTTTAATTTGTGCAATTTTACATCCTAACACGCACAATTTCCACTTCATTAAGCCACTCTCTGTCATCTTATTACTTTAAATTTTAACATTGGCTTGTTTGTGCGGTGGCTGTGTTGCTCAGCTTGAACTCATTTCCACATGATTACAGAGCTGGAAAAAAGAATTTGCGTCCTCCTTTTGCGCTCTGACAGAACTGGCATGCACGCTCTTATACTCAGATGAGAGAACGGGAGCTGTGCATGGTGCGCAGAGTGTTCATTTAGGAGGCTCAGAAACTTCTCAGTGAGAGATGGGGGAGGGTGGCAGGTGGGGCCTTTTGTTTTTCCCATCTGAAACAGAGGATGGTGAAAAAGATTCAGTCCATTTGCTAATCTTAATTTAAGAGTATCAACCTTTAGTTCTCAAATAGATTTTGTCCTGTTAGTATTATTCAGTGATAATGAATTTTCTTTTTACTGCACACCAATAATGCTTAACTCAATGCCAGAGAGAAGGTGAGATGCACAATATCTATGACATCAGATGCTTTCATTCTGGGCCTGTGGAAGCTATAACCTCCTCCCGAAATACACACACGCCCTCCGTCAGAGACAAGTCATTTTTCATACCGGAGCAGCAGCAAAGGGCTGCGTGGGAGTGTTGTTGAACAGTTTCACACACACGTGGATCTCCATATTTCCGTCAAAAATGGGGAAACTTGCAAGTAATCAATTCACCGATAAAAGTTGAGCCGCTGTTGAGGCAGAACAGTTTGTGCTGAATGACCGCGTCTCCGGTTTTACATGAGCATGGACCAGTGTTATGAAAGGGTAAGTGATTTTGAATGAAACCTGGCACATGGCAGGTCCCAGCATGCCTCTATTTCTCTGCTCCAGGTTAGTCTCAGAGGAATTTCAGTATGATTCACAGGGTTTTTTTTCACAGTAAGCTTTGAACCACAGAAGACGGAGTTCCTAATATAATTAATATGATATAATTCACACACATATATATTAAATATAAATGTATGATTATTTCATTTACAGATAGAATTTGAGTGCTGAGGTTTTATTAAGAGATAAAATGGCAATACTGACTGAGGTTTCACTTAACAGTTTGTTTTTAACACTTGTCCACTCTGGGAGTATACATTCCTGTCTCTTAAAAGCCTGGCCGTACTGTTTTAGCCCTCTGACGCTTTAAACCAGAAGTGGATTCTGAGCAACAAAAACTCAGTAATTGCACGGAAGCTTTATGTCCCAGTGAGCCACGGGCAGTCGTGACTGGAGGCACTTAACTACTCTTGGAACCACACTTCATTTATGCCCAATTGACTTCACTGACAGCACTTTGCTTTTGGTTTTTGTTAATTCTGGGATCGCTGAGTGTGTCTTGCCATGCCTCGGAACCATGTCAGCGTGCCATCCAATATCTGTCTCAAGAGATTAGCTTTTTAGGAAAGTTCTGAAAATTTATGGGAACATTAAATATGGTGAAGTTGAGTATCCTGACATTTAAAAGGTGACGTAGTCAGACATGCTGACTTCCATGGTGAGTTTTTAAACACTGACCCTGATAACAGAAGAAAACTTTCTTCTACCTGTATCTTACTTTTTCTCTGTTATGATCTGTAACCATGCTTTAAATCGCAACGGGTGTATTTCAGATTTGTTGCCTTCTCATTGCGTTACCTTTTGTGTCCTTAGGTGAGCTTTGAACAGACTTCAGTTCTGGCAAATGGTTTATCAGCCGCAATAATTATTGCAGTGCCAAGTATCTAACACCAGCAGGGAGGCAGGCTAACATTACTGGAAAAAATATAACTGAAGACAGACACAATATGTGATTAATATGTTTGTTTTATTGATACTAATTCAATCTAAATATTTCCAACTGAGTGCATAGAGGCAATAGTTTGATTAGTCCAAGCATTTTTCAGATTATCTTTTACTGATAATAGCAGGCACACATGACATGTTGTAATTATACTTTTACTAGTTTTGAACACATGAGAAAAAGTGAGGACGCTGAAAGACTTGTTCCTCTGGTTGTTGCTTGAAAGAAATCACATGGGGAATGGCAACCGCACAGACGCTAATGAAGCTGGGCTCTAAACAAAGAAGCGAATTAGCATTATCGATTTCAAAGACACCTTTGATCAGTAGAGAGACAGGAATGGAAATTCAGGAAGTGGCTTCTCATCAGAGTGGCTGTTAATCTATAGATAAATCTGAGCTGAAGAGATAAGGATTAAATTGTTTGTGTTGTGGTCAGAGGGTGCTCCATATGCATCTTATCTGCTAAAGCCAAATGATCTCTCGTGCACTTCAAAGACCGCAAATTCCACAGTGCATTATAGCTGAAGTTTACTTCCCTCAGGAAGCTATTACTGGTTTCTCCAGCGAAGTTGTTGTTTTGCTAATGACATCATGCTCAATGTGCCTATGAGCAACTGATTCAGCCCTCTGGACCTTTTTCAGGTGTGACTGATTGTGTGTCTTCACAAGGATCAAATGCACAGGCTGGCTTT